TGCGCCTGTGCATGACGTAGTACGCCATGGACGGATGCGTGCACTTGGCTTGGGGCGCTCATAAGTCTTGCGTGGCTTCGAGACGAGAGGACGTGCGAATCCAGTTGTTGGGATACTCTCTCGCGCATGCATGTATGCGGTGGCTCGCTCGCCATGCAAGGAAGCGAATGCGAGAAGCGGCCGGAGCCATCAAGCATCAATCAATTAGTGACTCGTGAGCACGTACAGCTTGGGCGCAACGGCGGGAGGGATTCCATTGCATCACCCGTGGATTCGTGACTCGGACCTGCACCGGGTCGGCGTCGTCGGCGAGGTCGATCATGCCATGCGCTCGCTCGCTGATGGCTGCCGGCCTGCCGCTGCGGGCGGGGAGCCGGGGACTGTACATGCGCGGCACACGACACGGTTATTCACACGTACGGCAGCGCGCGCCGCATCGACGCGTCGTCGTCGCCGAGGGGCCTGAGACGAGCGAGAAATCCATCTAGAACGTCGTTGGAACCTGCTCCCTTGCTGCATTGGCAATGGAGTCCCTCGTTGCTTCGCGTCAGCTATGAAAAATAGTATAGTGCTGAAACAATCCATCCAGTGTTCAAATATGTATTCATAGACCAAGACGATATATCCATTATTTCATAACCTAGATGGATTTAGTCAAAAAAAATTGTCGGGAGTATAACTCATTGAGCATTACAATTTTGATAAGAATGTTTTCATTTGAGATTATATGAGAAGTTAAGATTTTTTTAGATATGTACGCAACTTAAGGGAGTGAACAAATGACCTCAATCTATCCACTCACTAGCACAACATATCTTAGAAAAACCACAATCTTTTTCAGATAATTTTGTATAGAGATAAAATTTATACGACTATTCTTGAATTATTTTTATGAAATTTTTATCTTTTTTAAAAGAATATTTCTAGTCCGATTTACCTCCTTGAATTGTTAAGTTAGTCTGATTTACTCTAGCAAACCCAGCATCAAAACCACCTAGAGTGCACAAACAAACGGTTTTTAAAGTTAAGAAGGCGTCCAAGGTTTCGCGCGACCCTGCAATGTCGTGCGAAAAAAAAGATTACGGCAAAAAAGGCTTGTGGGCCAAATATTTGATTTATTGGAAGTGATTTATATGATACTCTTGGAGATGGATTTCTTTTTTCTCCCAATACTTTTTTGAGAGTTGAAAAATATGGATTTTTTGGGAGAAAAATTTAGGATACCTTGGTGATGCTCTTAGATCTTGCTAATATAATAAAAAACGACTATGCACGGCGGCCGTCGCAACCACTGCCTCAGATCTTGACATCACTGCCGGTTCAAAAACCCCCTTCGCTGCCGGATTTTGAACCGGCAGTAGCATACCGGCAGTGATGTGGGATTGACATACCGACAGTGATGTGAAACCAACAGTGATGTGGAAAGCTAAAAAATACACTGAAAAAATAGGAAAAAAAGTTTTAATACCGGGAGAGGTCCCACCGGACAGCTACACCGGTCCGCTCTGCCTCCACCGCGGCCACTATTCTTGAAATTTTTTTTATGAAATTTTTATTTTTTAAAGAATATTTCTAGTCCGATTTACCTCCTTGAATTGTTAGGTTAGTCTGATTTACTCCATCAAACCCAGCATCAAAACCACCTAGAGTGCACAAACAAACGGTTTTAAAAGTTAAGGAGGGTTCAAAATCCGTTTTGGTAAATAAAGGGAATTTGAAGGGGTCAAAAGGATTTTTTTTTCCTTCCAAAAACCACTGCAGCTCACCAAATCTCCCAGCCCATTATCACACCTGATCACCGGCACGCCTACAGTCACTAGCCCACGGCCCGCCACTGTAACCCTCTAAACTCCACCCCCACCAAGCCCCCAGTGGCCTCCCTGCCAACCTAGCCGCCGGCGCACATCGCGCAGGGAGACGAGGCCACGAGGGGCAACGGTGATGACGCAGAGGACACGCACGCGCGACGGCTGAATGACTCGCGCTGGCGGCAACGGCGGAATCACGCGCGCTAGGGGCAACGACGGACGGCGGCCAGTTGCCCAGTCAATCAATCGACTACTTCCTCACGCAAAGCACCATATAAGAAAACAGTTCAATCCTACATTCGTACTCCTTGGGTCTGGTCGGCTGGTACGTAAGCCGGCCGGTTCCGGCTGATTCAATAGTATTGTGCGATGAATAATAAGTTGAAATAAGCTGACCGTAGCTTCTTCATTCTTTTACCACCGACATCACAGGCTCACACACAGTAGAGTAAGCAAGGATGTCTCTCTCCCATAGCTGAGAACACAGTCTATAGCTCGCTCTCTCCGTTATTGTCTCGGCAAGCAAGCAATTGGCACCAACGTTTTCTCTTTTGCTCCCTCGATTTTTCTGTTCACATTCTCCTTCCATGTCTACTCTACAACATCTCTTGTGCCATTACAGAGGCACAGCGTCGGGGACACATGAAACCTGGGCGGGCCAGCAAAGGCGGGCCCAAAGTGCAGCCCAGATAGGGCCTAGAACCCCATATCTCCTCGCTATCTTTTAGCAATTGGCAAACCAGCATCCTTTACGCATAAAAATATGCGCATCGTAGTCGCGCGCATCGCCTTCCTGCGACCGACTTTTACCGGGTGGCTCTCGTAGTGCACGTGCTGTTGGAGTCGGGCGTCGGGCCTAGGTCACCGATGAGTCCCAGACGCAGCGGCACGTTCGGACCCGGCTCCGGCGGCGTCGTGAACCAGAACGTCCGCACCGTGTCGCCGAACCCATGGCGTAGTAGTACTTGGTGCCGTGGTCGAGGTTGCTGTCTCGCTGATCGAGCGTGCAGTGGTGGATGTACCCGGACGTGTAGTTGTAGTATGTGTAGCGCGTGACGGTGCCCTCGGCGGCGAGGTCGAGCGTCTTGTCCATGGCGCGGCCGTACAGGACGGTGCTGTTGCCCTCGGCCTCCACGGTGACCCAGGACACCCCCGCCGCCGTCTGCCGGGCCGCGGCCGCAAGGAGCACTATGGCGGCGACCAGCAGCGCGACGGCGCCATGGCGTCGCCGCCGGATGCCATTGCCAGCCACCACCGTGTGCATGGTGGCCACCACAGGACACTAGTTGAGAGAGGACACGTGCGTATGTACGTTTAGGCTGCCGGCTGGGAAGTCGCGGCGGCGGCCAGGGAGGCGGCGGCGTCCAAGGTTTCACGCGACCCTGCAATGTCGTGCGAAAAAAAAAGAATGAGGCAAAAAAAGATACTCTTAGAGATGGATTTCTTTTTTCTCCTAATATTTTTTGGGAGATGCTCTTAGATCTGACTAATATAATAAAAAAAACGACTACGCACGGCCCGCCTTCGCACCGTCCTACGCACGCGGCAGCCGCGCCACGTTCTCCAGGTCGCGCCGACAGTCCAACGAAGAAGAAGGCCCCTGGGGCGCTGGCTCGCATCGCAAGTCCCCTCGCCGGCAAGAATCCTTGCAAGGGGACCCTTGAGCTCGTGCGTCTAGGTTCATACTTGTTTCTTGGCCCTGTTCGATTATGTACGTGCTCGCTTTGGGCTCAGGGTTTCTTCAATTCTTCTTATCCGGTCTTGATGATTGACTGTGGGCGAATTTGCAGCCTCTGAGGCCAAGTTCCTGAACCGGGGAATCAAGGAAGTCGTCAGGAGCATCTGCTGTGGAAACATAGGGTTAGTACTCTTTTTTTTTTAGTTCTTTCGTCTGCTTGTTCAGTGCTTAGTCACTTGTCATTCCCTATTTGGTAATGTATAAGTTCGAATGACCGATAGGGCAGTTCAGTTCGTGGCAATAAGCAGATGTCATAGTAAGCTTTTACTTATCTCCCTTTTAGGAAATACATCATGTCCAATGAAGCAGTAAATCATCCTAGAACTACTGGTATTTATATTGTAGTTCATGACCTAATGCGGTATATGTTTGTATACCGAATTTCTTGGCAAATGTCGTAGCTTCTTCTTGCGGAGTTGGACAGGGCTGTCTTGTTGTCATTGATCTGCTTGTCGATTGCCTTGGTGGGGTGGTTTCTAGCGTGAGTGTGGTGGAGAGGAGAGGAAGTGATGTCCTTGTGACTCTGTTTGTACCATCGTCCATCCACACCTTGCCGTGACGTGACGTGTAGTCCAGTTCATCCATTTCATCGCAGATCCCTTTGCTGTATGGATGTCAGTTCATTCATGTGCCAAACAAACTTGAACAAAAAAATATCAACTTTTATATTGACATAATTTGTTTAGAAGAAATTTTTTAATTCTGTGCGTTTCATCCAGCTCATTGCAGATCTCTTGCCATGTGGATGGATAGGGACTGAATTATCAGTAGCAGTCCATTCATGTGCCAAACATATTTGGGGTTAGACTGAGTTGAGCTGAACAAGTCTTTGCCTCATTTTATATCTGTAGCGGTTTCGTTTCTTGGGGAGGGGGAGTTTCTGATGTTATACTTTGTTCAGAAGTAAATGTATATTCCTGTTTTTCTCATGTGTTTGTTAGCTTGTCTATTTTTTACACTTCAGGTATCAGCTCAGTTCATTTAACATTAAACTGGGATGCTTTACTTTCAAAAATAAATGCTCGTATCTGTATGTTTCATACATATGTTAGTTCTTTTCTTTGTGTGTACTCTAGATATGGATTCATTTGAGCTAAAATCAAATCGTGATGGTATACCTCGGTTTAGAAACAAATGTTTGTTTCCGTATGTTTCATGCTCCTCTTAGTACTTAGCCTTTTATGTTACAGATGCGAATTCAGTTGAGTTAACATCGAATTGTGATTTTGCATTTTATTCAAAATAGATGCTAAGTATGTTTCATGCATCTGTTAGCAGTCAAGTTAACATGAGATTTTGATGCTATACTTCGTCCAAAAATAAATGTTTCTGTATGTTTCATGCTTTTGTTAGCTCTTCTCTCTTATACACTTCAGATATGAATTTAGTTGGGTTAAATGAATCAATTTGAGACACTGACTTGTGACATTCTTTTTTATTGACGTTACAGGAAAATGTCATCGAATCCTGGTGAACCTAAGAGTCGTGCCCGGACAGACTTTTTGCTCAACAATGAAGCAGAGGTTCAGAAGTTTTGGGATGAGAACAAGGTTTTTGAGGCTGATCCTGGCAATGAGCCTCCAAGCCCTGGGGAAAAATTCTTTGGGAACTTTCCATACCCTTACATGAATGGCTTGCTGCATCTGGGCCATGCCTTCTCGTTGTCCAAGCTTGAGTTCGGTGCTGCATACCACAGGCTTCGTGGCTCCAATGTCCTTTTGCCCTTTGCTTTCCACTGCACTGGAATGCCCATCAAGGCCTCAGCTGATAAACTTGCTAGGGAAATCCAACAGTATGGATATCCTCCAGTGTTTCCCGCGGCAGAGGGTTCTAGTGCTGCAGTGGCAGATGCTATCCAGGCTGACCAGGCTGATGTTGTTGCCCCGGATAAATTTAAGGGGAAGAAGTCCAAGGCTACTGCAAAGGCTGGTGCACACAAGTACCAGTGGGAGATCATGAAGAGCTTTGGTCTAGATGATGAAGAGATTGCCAGATTTCAAGATCCTTATCACTGGTTGACTCACTTCCCTCCTTTGGCAAAGGAGGTTCTCAAGAAATTTGGCTTGGGTTGCGACTGGAGGAGGTCATTCATAACTACTGACATGAATCCATACTATGATGCTTTTGTCAAGTGGCAGATGAGGAAGCTGAAGAAATTGGGCAAGGTTGTTAAAGACAAGAGGTACACGATCTACTCTCCGTTCGATGGCCAACCTTGTGCTGGTCATGATAGAGTAACAGGTGAAACTGTGCAGCCACAAGAGTACGTATTGATTAAAATGGAGGTGATATCACCTTTTCCTCCCAAGCTGAAGGCGTTGGAAGGAAGGAAGGTGCTTTTGAGATCAACGACAAATTGCTGGACAGACAAATTGCTGGGTGCTTCCTGATGGAATGTATGGTACTTTTGAGATCAACGACACTGATGTCTTCATCCTTACAGCAAGGTCTGCTCTTAATCTTGCATACCAACACCTATCCAGGATCCCAGAAAAAACAACCTGCTTATGTGAGCTGTCTGGCAATGATTTGATTTGTTTGCCACCGAAATCTCCTCTTGCCTTCAACGAAACCATATATGTTCTTCCAATGCTCACTGTCTTGACTGACAAAGGTACTGGCATTGTGACTAGTGTTCCAAGTGATTCACCTGATGATTTCATGGCACTGCAAGCTTTAGTGACAAAGGCAGCATTGAGAGCAAAGTATGGAGTGAAAGATGAGTGGGTTCTTCCTTATGATATTGTACCAATAATCCACATTCCTGAATTTGGAGACAAGTCAGCAGAGAAGGTTTGTCATGATCTTAAGATTAAAAGCCAGAACGACAAGGAGAAGCTTGCTGAAGCAAAAAGAATGACATATCTGAAGGGATTTACTGATGGAACAATGATTGTTGGTGAGTTCAGTGGTAAAAAGGTTCAAGAAGTGAAGCCACTGATTAAAAGCAAGCTTTTGGAAGAAGGCACAGCTGTGTTGTATAGTGAGCCGGAGAAGAAGGTCATGTCTAGATCTGGTGATGAATGTGTTGTTGCCCTCACTGATCAGTGGTACATAATTTATGGTGAGGCTGAATGGAAGCAGAAGGCAGTCAGATGTTTGGCCCGCATGAATACATTCTCAACTGACACCCGTAATGGTTTTGAACACACATTGGGCTGGCTGAACCAGTGGGCTTGTTCGCGTTCTTTTGGCCTTGGTACTCGAATTCCATGGGATGAGCAGTTCCTTGTAGAATCTCTCTCTGACTCAACCCTATACATGGCTTACTATACAGTTGCACATCTTTTGCAAAATGGTAATATGTATGGGAAAAAAAATATCTTCAGTAAGGCCAGAAGAAATGACAGATGAAGTCTGGGATTTTGAGTTTTTGTGATGGCCCGGCACCAAAAAGTGACATTCCTGCTTCTCTGTTGAACAAAATGAAGCAGGAATTTGAGTATTGGTATCCATTCGATATCCGTGTGTCTGGTAAAGGCCATATTCAAAACCATCTGACATTCTGCATATACAATCATACAGCACTTCTTCCTGAGCACCATTGGCCACTTGGTTTCCGCTGCAATGGGCATCTTATGCTTAATTCTGAGAAAATGTCCAAGTCCACAGGGAATTTCCTAACTCTCGAAGATGCCATCAAAAAGTGCTCTTCTGATGCCACTAGATATGCCCTTGCTGATGCTGGCGATGGTATGGATGATGCTAACTTTGTAACTAAAACTGCAAACTCTGGTGTTATGAAGCTTACAAAAGAAATTTCATGGATGGAAGATATTACAGCTGCTGAATCTAAATTAAGAGCTGGGCCGCCCACTACATTTGCTGACCGTGTGTTTGCAAACGAGATGAACATTGCAATCAAAGAAACTGAGAAGAGCTATAATGCTTTCATGTTCAAAGAGGCCCTGACGTCTGGGTTCCATGTCCTCCAATTGGCTAGAGATGAGTACAGGCTCTCTTGTGGCGCAGCAGGCATGAACCGTGATCTATTGTGGCGATTTATGGATGTCCAGACCAGGCTCATCACCCCCATCTGCCCACACTATGCCGAGCACGTGTGGCATAAGATCATGAAGAAAGAAGGCATAGTAATAAAAGCTGGCTGGCCAGACGCAGACACCCCACATCCGACGCTGAGAATTGCAAATAAATACTTGCAGGATTCCATAGTATCGATGAGGAAGCTGCTTCAGGAGCAAGAGTCTGGTTCCAAGAAGCCTAAGAAGGGAGCTGCACCAGCACCTCCATCCGAGGAAAAGAAGATGAGCATTGGCCTTATATATGTGAACGAGCACTACTCTGGCTGGAAAGAGCAGTGCTTGAGGGTGCTGCAGTCCAAGTTTGACAGCCAAAGTCGCTCTTTCGCACCTGATCAGGAAATAGCAGAAGCTCTGAAGGGGTGTCCTATCGGGCAGGAAATGGACTTGAAGCAAGTTCAGGAGCTGTGCATGCCCTTCATCAAGCTGAAGAAGGATGCGGCAAGGGATGTTGGTCCTCGGGCACTGGACTTGAAGCTTCCGTTCAGTGAGATGGATGTTCTCGGGGAGAACTTGGAGCCGATCAAGAGGCAGCTGGGCCTTGAGCATGTTGAGGTGCTCCCAGCGTCTGATGAAGCTGTTCGCGCTAAGGCAGGTGAGCATGCTTCGCTGCTAGAGGAAAAACCACCATCACCCGGTAAACCCACCGCCATCTTCCTCAGCAAACAGAGCTGAAAACTGAACTTGCACCATTGCTAATAGTCCGAGCATATAGCCATTTTCTTATTCATTTTACCGCACATTTAAGAGTAGTATGTTAAAGATCGAGAACAGAGTATGTTTTCCTTTGGTTTGGTGAAACCAGTTTCGTTTTTTCTGTCAACAGCGTATGTTATCCTTTGGTTTGGTGAAACCATCTTTACTACATCATTCTGTTCCGGTGTATTCATTAATGCGATTAGACTGCAGAAATAGAGGCGAAAGCTCATGATGATTACATTTTGAGTATTACAATGTTTGAAACAATGTCTTTTTGAACAAGATACATCACATTCATGTATGTTCGTGCATTCTCCAATGCGGCGCCGAAGCAGATCCCAATAGCGTATAGAGGCATTAAAAATTATACCTAAATACAAAAATTATATCAAAATACACTCTAACTAGAAACCATGCGCAGTGTTGCTGCGCGCCTGCATGTGTTGAGCCAGTCCGCGATGCATAGCATGAGTTTATATGGAGACGATCAGTATGAGGACCAGACCATGTGCCTCCACTACATCTGTTGGCCTGGTTTCTTCGTTAGACAACGATTACTTAGCCTCAAATCACTATTAATCTCTAACTCTAGCCCTAAATCTTCATTATTTAGCTCCCCTTTGTCCCCATCCTGCATCCGTAGAAATGGTTGGATACATATTGATGTGTCTATTTAGTGATGTAAATAATGCGTATGAGATTAAGATGGTTCTATTTGTAGAAGGAAATATAATAGTAGTGACAACTCTATGTGTATGTGGCACTAAAAGTTAAGAATGCAGCTGAGACAAAAAAAAGAGAGTTAAGAATGCAGCTAGTTAATTTGTTGCATAGACAATGGAGCATATTAATTTGTTGAGCCCTTTTACAGTACTTAAAATTGTCTCGCGTTGCCTCCCATTGCCTCCATAAAATATTAATTATCATCATAAAGGGTATGTTGGTCATTTCATGTGCCTATCACTACTTGTCGCGCCCCCTCCCCGATCCGCGCCCGACGCCGTCGTCCCGACTCGCCCTCGCACTCGGCATCGCCCGACGCCCCGACCCTGCACGCGCTGTCGCGTTCACCAAAGCCGCCGCCGCCGCCCTTGCACGGCGCCGCGCTGGCCTGCCATTGCCCGCACTGCCTGCTCTTACCCTAGCGACCGCTGCCCTGCTCTCTCCCTCCCTCTAGCCGCCGCCGGAGCCTCGTCGCGACGGCGGCCCAGCCGCGCCGCTGCCCCCGCCCCCAGCGCGAGGGCCGCGGTGGTCGCCTCCGTCACCGCCTTCGTCGAGTCCGCCGGATTCCCGCGCGCCCTCGCCGCCCTCCAGTCCGAGGCCAGCCTCGAGGTACCAACTCCCCTGTAATCCGATCACATGATGAAACCTCGAATCAATTTGGTTTGTGTTCATTCTAATTCCATTCACTACTCTTTCATATGGAGAAATCGAGCATATTTCCTTTGTGTACTAGAAAGCCTGGGGCGCGGCGTTGCCGCGCCATGTTGAGCTAGCCAGTGGTGATTCTACGTGGGATTTCTAACATTTAGAATTTCTTTTGTTTGATGTCTGATTACTTTTGTATCAGCGAGGGCAAGGAAATGAAAGCACCTTCGTAGCAATAGTGTAAGGGTAAATATGTTTGATTATTTATTCTTCTATTCTTAAAAAATATGCTTTCGGTTGAGATTGCAAAGTCTTTTTGCTTCGTAGCATACATTAAGCTATGACATTATGTAAGTGAGAGTAGAGGAAGAGAGAAATGCAATTGTTTTCTGATGACATTTGACTCAAACTGAGCAGAAAATGTTGTCTCTACTACCTTGAAATTCTATAGTGTTCTTTAAACTACATGATTTGAGGCGTCAAGATCTCACAAATGTAAAATTACGGTGCCATGAAATTTGCTTGCTGCAATGTAGATAAGTTCCATGTAAGGAATAAAGTGGTACTTTTTGTGCCACAAAAGTAATATGCATACTCCATTTTATTTGTAGGAGACTTTGATAGATCCATCACAGTGCATCTATCTCAACAGTTGCGTGGACACAATATGGCATATTCCTCCATCTTGCGTTTTTTATATTTTGGGGAACTGATAGCTACTCCTACATGTAGGCCTAATTTAGAAACTCTAATCCCTCCGAGATCCCGGACTTTTCCCTGTGTGGGTAATCCATGGAGATATCATTCTAATTATCATTCTAGTTCTTAGTGGGGGGTTTTTCCATCCCTGAGTTTTGCTCCCTCTTGCTTCCAAAAGAGCCCCTAATAGTGTAGACTCCTGTTCAAGTAACAATGATAATATGCTTCATAAGCTCCACCAGGTTCTCAGATCAAGCATATGAGAATGTCTCCTTTGATCTGTAAATTTGCATAGAGTCAATACTAAGATGTGAACATTTCATATTAGCTACAACATCTGGTTGCATACAGTGCTTACCAAAAAACATCACGGCATATCTGATGGCTCAGAAGGTGCACTGAAGTATATGAGCATGTCTCCTCTGATCTTTATATTTTACAATGCTTACCAAAAACATCATGGTATATCTGATGGCTACAAAGCGGCACTGAATATGTGTGATCCAACACTAATTGTCTTGGTGTATTTGGTGGGCTATATCAATATGTTGAAAAGCAGCATGTCTTTGGGAATTGAAACCACTGCTAATCAAAACCAACTCACACAATAACCAATTTCTGAGAAATCAAACTTGTGAAACTTACAGATTTGGCTCCAAAGAATCATGCAACTTGCGTAGAGAACTTTGCAAAAATCTTTTAAGTGCATTAATGTAATATATTGCTTGAGATTAAAACAAAAGAAATGTCATGTGCTGCGTATCTTCATTTGTCCACTGAATTTCGGTTACCACACTTCTTGGTCGTCCCATAGGCCTGTTTCTCTGATAATTGTGTCTCATGGTCGTCCCATGAGCCTGTGTTGTTCAAATATTACACATCATTTTTGCACCAATAATAATGATTGGTTGATCAATCTGTATAATTTTTTTTATTAACCTGATCAAATTTGTCATGGATCAAACTGTTGGTTTGGCACATTGGCCTAATTAAAACTCAGCAGTTTCCAGTCCTGTTTGGAAGGCACAAAATGCTCTAGCAGTTTTCATGATTTACTTCAAAATTGGTACTGCTAGAGCATTCTTTGTTCAGTAATACAGTGCACCTGCCTACTTCATTAATTGTTCAACCTAGCTACCTCTTTCTTTGCTTTTTTTTCATGACTTCAATAGTTACTATCAACGCTGCTTCTATTCTCTTGGTATGCAAGGCTAGGTATATATGTCACAGATTGTTATGACAAGGGACTGTTCAAGAATGAGTTAACACACAACACAATCATTTATACTTGAGACTTGTGCTAAGTATTAACATGGTTTCTCTCTTTATTAGAGGACTAGCAGTTTATTGTTTATATGTCTACTACTACAGACTTGTTAACTGTTCTGCTGGTGATATAAGTTCTGCATCCTTGACAAATTGGCAGAGTTATTTCATCTATTTGTGTTCAATTAATTAGCATAGCTATTGCTTTTCCTCCGGTTGTGGATTCACTTGGTGTTAGTGAAGCTTATTGATGTTTTAGTTATGTGATTATCTTTCCCTCCTGTCGGGGTTGTCTTGTATTATTTTTGGATATAATAGGTCACTGATCATGCACCTTGGCCGGTTTCTGTTACACCTTGGTGGAGCTTGTTTCTGTTACACCTTGGCTGGTTCCAAGTTTCTAAATACATATAAACATAGGCTGCTGTTTTAGAACATGGCAGGTTGCTGAAATTTGAAACTTCAAGTGCAAAGTGAATTTCAATAATGAAAACATGTGCATCCTAATGAAAGCTTTATTTTTCAGGAGGAAATGTCGGATGATGATTCTTTGCTGGAGTACAATGAAATTGTTATGAAGATGTTTGGCAGTGAGGACGACGGATTTGAGTTTTATAACAACTACGCTTATGAGAAAGGATTTAGTGTGAGAAAGGAATACTGCGAGTGGGACAATCATGAATTCTGCCCTGACGACGGTCGATGCAATAAGTATCTGTGCCGCAACTGCAAGAACAATGTCTCTCTGTGCCTAAATCCTGTCGGTGGCATCGACGACCTGTTGGCGTGGTGCTGCAACTGCTGGAGACATGAGATCCATAGATGCTTGAATGGGTGTCAGGACTCGAGTGATGAGGAGGACATGTCAGACCACCAGGTATCTTCTTGCACGGCTGCATGTAATTTGTACTACACAACCCACTTCATTTGACATGTATTATTTTTTGCATGTATTATTTTTGACAGATTCCATACTTACACGATGACACAACCCTTAATTGAAAATCAGTCTTACTGAGTATGGGCTGTCAATAGACAAAAGAAGGTCGATGCCATGAAAAACAGCCTCGAGCACCAAGGAAAGATGATAGACGACATGTCTAAGATTATCGGGGATCTCAGAAGGAAGGTCGAAGCCAACCTTGGCAAGATTTAAAAACCATGCCAATATATTGTAGTTTTATTGTAGTTCGAATAGAGTGATTTCTTGAACTATTTTGCCAAGTCGACACTATGTATTTTTTACTTGAATTACCAATGAGATCGTATTTGCCTGAGATCGTATCAGCCTGAGATCTTATCAATATCATCTGAAGCTTATGGTCTTCTTTATGTGAATTCAGTGCTAATAATCCTGTGCCAAATTATCTTATGCTTATGGTCTCCTTTATTATGTAAAGAGCTGTAAGAGCATAGAAGTTAAATGAGTAGAGCTCCGGCACTGAATTTTTCTTTCTATTGTTGTTTGAACCGACCATAGACTTGGCCAGTGTGATGTCTGAACTGAATGATGGTTCTGATTCTTCTGAATATCTGCACTTCCTTGCTTCCAGAGTATAGCGTTGATGATTTTGGCCCCTAAGCGCAGCACACGAACAGCCGGGGGTGTCTGCATGAGTCACTGATCGGTTCTAGAGTGAAGT